AAAGTTGGATGTGTCGGATATAACTTGCAAGAAATGTCCAAAAAAGATAGAGGACTTCAACGAGTTTCTGGATCATTTAGTGGACGCCCACGATCTACGTTTCAATAAGGACCTAATGAACAATTTCGCCTGTTTCAAGCTGACAGATGGAGACCTCAGTTGCTTGCATTGCGGAGAACGTTTCTCCTTCTTCGGCACATTGTTGATGCACGACAACCGATACCACAATGACTCGAAGACTTTCGCTTGCAATGTGTGCGGCGAAGCATTCATATCTAAGTATATACTCTCCAGCCACATATATTACAGACATGACGAGAAACGATGCAAAATTTGCAATGAAGTCTTCAAGACCGCCTTTGCTCTAATGTCGCACAAGCAGAGAGTGCACGATGTCGACAAACTGAAATGTCCGGAATGCAACGAGATTTTAGGCAGTAAATATTTGCAGAAACAGCACCTGCAATTGGTTCACGGCGTTGGGAAGAAGCAGCTGGTCTGCGATATATGTTCCAGGACTTTTGTCACCAGCAAAACGCTGCGGGACCACAAAGCTAGAGTTCATTTGAAAGAGAAGCCTGTAGCGTGCGAAATATGCGGATTCAAGGTGTTCAGCAAAGGAGTTCTAACCCTTCACATGGTGAAACACAGCGAGGCTCGTCCGTTCGTTTGCGATGTATGCCAGAAGACTTTTAGGCGAAAGAAGACTTTGGAGACCCACATGAAGTTGCACAATAACCACAGGCCGTACGAGTGCAGCGATTGTGATAAATCTTTTGTGCAAAACGGGAATTTGAAGAAACATATTAGAGTTTGTCATTCCGGTGTCAATGAAGTAAAACTGCAGCGGCGACCGTCTAAATGCGAAAATTTGTGATTGGATGAAGCTTTGGCTTTTTATGAAGTTTCAATAGCAATATTTAAAGTATTTTATATAAGAATGCACATCAATTTTGAGTCCAATTGAATATGTTTTAACGTCACATCACAATTACAAGTCACCTGCTTTTATAGAAATGAGCATCATAATTTCACTTAAGTAACGCAAATAACTTCTGCAAAAGTGTCAAGGCGATAGTTTAGCGGGCAGGGAGGCAAGTTCATATAGGAACATAAATGAATCAATATTTATCTTTATTCAAATAAGATGTATAGCTCTCAATAACTCTTTCGAATCGTCCAAAAATGTTTTCCTCTACCACTCGTTATTGGACATATTTCTTTGTTGCGGAGAAAACAAGCGAAAAAAATCTCCACAAAGAATAATGTAACAACATTTACAAATGATTATTTTGTTATGACATCAATACAATCATGATTTATATCATACAGAAAACCTATTGGAATGATTGTAACAGTTCAAACACAAGTATTTTTGTCTGTAATATAATCAGATACTTTGCAATAAATGCTTTTTTTAAGGGTGTAAAAGTATGAATTAACGGTACATGGACATGGCATCATCTTGTGAATTTATTTGAGTTTGGAGAAAGCAGAAATGTTTGATCAGGCAAGCAAGTTAAATGAGTGGAATTGGGACTTTGGTTGCTTTACATTTGGATATATTTATTATAAATAATAAACTAAATTTATTATAGTCTAAGGGGTGCGAAAGCGCGAAGCTAAGATTGCAGTATTTAAATAGTGGTCTTGGTATTTTCTACGTAAGATAGATCATTGGTTTTGCCTCTAAAATTTATCATTTTTAGCCTTCTATCGATTTTTTTTAAATGATAAATCTAAATCTAAACTTGAAATTGACAACAGTGTGTCCTTGTTATTCTCTATACAGAATGAAAAGGAGAGAAAATAAATTTAGTTTCGACATTATTGTAGCTCTTATAATATCTAAGGTAAAGATAAAAGCCAGTTTTAAATATTTGTTTCTTAGGTTTTCACGCACATCACTCATTAAATAAAACTAGTTTTTTACGGGTTAATGTACGAAACTTTATTTATTTATTGACGTTTCGTAGCCTTTACATGCTACGTCGTCGGAATCAAATTTTTATTTAATTTTGTCGAGCTACCTTCGAAAGGCTTTTATTGAGCGTTCGGTTATTTCATTGTTCGATTTTTAAAGTTTTACTGTCTATGTCTATGTATGAATTTATTACTTAATTTAGTTAATAAAGTATTTTATTTAGAATTCTATTTTGTAATTTTGAGTTTTAGTCCAGTCATTATATACATTTGGAAATGCAAATGAACCGAGAAAGCCAAATTTTGGATATTACGTGGGGGGTGGCTAGAAAAGCTTAAGTTCAAATTGTCGACCAAAAAAACCTTGTGGGTTTTCCGCCATCTTGAAAAAAGGGTTAAACTCAGTTTTTTTTATCATAACTCGGTTCCCCGTCGAGATACGAAAAATTTTATGGAATACTTTTTTGTTGCTCTTTGTACGATCTACAATTAAGGTCCTATACATTTTTCGCGTATCGACCATCGTTATCGAGATATCGATAAAAAAAGCCACAAATTTTGGGAGAAATTTTTTTTTTCGCTATTTCCTTCTTTCTCGCGAAAAATATCGAAAAATGTTTCGAATAAAACTTGTAGAGCCTGTTCAGACCTACAAATTCGTTTTTTAATTTTTAATTTTCGAGAAAAATTACGACCTCCAGCTCGCCGCATATATATATATATATATATATATATATATATAAAGATTCCACAAATTCTTCAGTTCCGCAGATGGTTGTAACACAAGCACACCAATTTTATTTCACAATATCCACTAATACGAATTTAAGAATAATTAAAATAAGACGCCAAGTGCACTCGATGAAATCCCACCAAAAACTCCTCAGTTCTGATTCTATTGCGTAGTGATACCAGTATCGCTCTCTCCATTATGCGCTAGGTGACCTTAAACCTTCTTAAGAGACCTATGTTAAACGAACACGTTTCGCTTCCATAGGTCATCCCTGGCACAATAGGCGGCGACTCATAACTGGATCCCGCAGTTACGCCTGGAGGGCGAGGGGCAGATCGGGGAGTTGGTTTACCTGGTAGGTATGGGAGCTGGTCGGCTGGCTAGCTGCTCGGGCTGCGGTCCGTGAGACTAGTCAGGTGACGCTGTGAACGGAGAAGCCCAGGATCGGCTAAAGTGGGTGCGGGCCGGGCTGCTGGTCGGAGGCGGGCTGGTTTGACGTATGCCACGCTTACGTGAGCGCACGTCAAAGTATACCCGCACTGACTTGCGGCCCTCGGGCTGCTCGCCGCTTGCCGAAAGCACCACGCAATTACCTGCGTCGCGAGAGTTTTTTGACAGCAAACTAACGCGGCGTTGGTCATTTTCGTAGGTATAATGCATTTTTTCTCCCCGTGCCAGGGACGACCATTTTTTTCACACACACACACACACAGGTCATATACTTTTGTCTTGAGACACTGAAGTAGATGGCACGTGGAGATTTTACGTATTTTTTTTATAGCTAAGGTACCCTAGGAATAGGTAGGAGTCTACCCCACTTGATGTTAAGTGGTGGCAAAGTTCAGACGTGAAGATAGCTGGTGTAGCAGTTATAATCTGCCACACCGACCATCCTCACCTTGTCGGCCTGCAGAAATGCTCCTTCACTTCTCTTTTAAAGGACCCCAGATTGTAGAAACACGTGCGCGGGCAAAGAATTCCACTTGGCAAATAGTACGACAAAGATATGAGTCACTTTAATTTCCCGAACGCTGCTAGCTGGATTCGACGAGTGATCTCTTTTTCGAAGTTGGACTTACCTCCCTAAACTTTTTGTCCCAGGTATAATTATGTAGTAAGTAGTCAATAATTTTGAGTGTAGTATACGCTATTTTAACTGCAGTGGATTACATGGGCATTCGGCATAATTTCCGTATTATCCATGTTCACCTGAAGACTCACTCTTCGGAAAGCACTACTAAAATCTTCAAGCATTGTGTTCAGATTTTTCAAGGTCTCAGCCATAAATATCTACTACTTTATCAGCGAAAGAAAGAAACGTAAGTTACTCGCTATTAATTTTGATGCCTCGTTCTTTCCACTTCAGAAACTTAAAAATATCCTCCAATGCAGCTGTGAACAGTTTCAGAATTAAAAAAAATGGGTGCGTGTACTTATGTAGGCGCGTGAGAAGTTATCCTTCTTTGGCATCGTTTAAAATTAGTTTTTAATTGCATGCAAATAATTAATTACAATAAATTAATTAAAAGTCTGGAAAAGGACACAGTCAATAAAGTTCAGTTTTAATTTGAAAAAATAAATAAATAATCAAAATATTCAATTAAAATCGCTACTGAAATTAATTTATTAGAACATATGTGATTTGCACTTGTATGAAACTCAAACACGTATTCCGAATATACAAACTAGAAACATGTGGATAAATATTATAAATATGAATACCTATAACTGTTACTTTATTACAAAAAATAAAGATGTGGTTTTTGGTTCTACTACACCAATGGTCAAGAGATGGCGCTGTAGTCTCCTGAATCGCGCTTTGGTTCCGTTGTTCCAGATTAATAAATACTTTTGATAGGCCTTCACAATGCAGTCGTTAGCACCCACTAAATAGAGATTCTATTTCTATTTTGTTGGTAGATTCATAATGTGCGGTAAACACAAAAGTAACGCATGAAGTTGGTGGCTAAAGCGACCAACTTCATGCTGTTAAAATTTTGTGTTACAGTGATGCGCGCGCATCTTAAAATTTCACTCTCATCATTTCTTCATAACGCGCCTAAAGAAGTATAACTTCTTTAACGTAATAACTTATTATATAAAGTGTTTTTATTCCCTTTTATTATTGCATTCAAAGTGTCTGATGCTTTATAAATAATAAAAATAAAATTAATAATACCCGAAAAACCCGGGTGTTTTTGGACCGGGTCGACCGGGCTCGATGCCCTATTTGTCAACCATTAGAAATGAAAAATAAAACTGGATTTGATTTTTTACAAATAATATTCTTTAAGCTTAGCTTTACAATTTCACGCTCAATTATGTTCTTTTCTCTTTCTTTCAGAACTCGACAGCTCAGCTCATCACACCAGCAAACAGACCAAACAAGACCTGCTCCAGATCCTCTCAGTTATAGTTAAGAACTCCACGATCATGCCTTTCAGGTGGTATTCCAACAAGTACATGTGTTTCTATTGCTGCTGCCCATTCGAAGACAGCTGCAACCTTAAACGGCACACGAGGTCAGAACACGAAGAAGCCAAGTTAAAAAACGTGCTCACATTCGTGAGAACGACGAGAATAAAATTCGATGTTTCGGATATATCGTGCAAACTGTGTCCCAAAGCCATTCGAAGCTTAGACGAATTCCTGACGCACGCGGTAACAGTTCACGATTTGCAATTCAACAAGGAACTGGGCAAAGACTTCTTCGCATACAAGCTTTCCGATGAGGATATGAGCTGCTTGGAATGCGGGCAGACGTTCAAATTCTTCGGGCCGCTGTTGAAACACATGCACAAGTATCATAACAAGTCTAACGCGTTCATATGCGAGATGTGTGGCCAAGGGTTCGTGGCGAAGTCGAATGTGACGAGCCATATCAAGAATGTCCACGGTCAGAGCGAATGCGAGAAATGTCACAAGGTTTTCCCCTCTCAGTACGCTTTGTCTGTGCACTACGAAAAAGTCCATAGAGCTGAAAAGCTGAAGTGCCCCAAGTGCCCAGAGGTTTTGACAAGCAGGTACTTCAAAAAGCAACACTTGGCCTTAGTGCATAAAGTTCAGAACAGCGTGCACACATGCGATGTCTGCTCGAAGGTTTTCACACTCAAAAGCCGTTTGATCAAACACAAAGCCAGGATACATTTGAAGGAGAAATCTATAGCTTGCGAGATTTGTGGGTTCAAAGTGTTCTGTAAGGATTTGCTGAAGAAACACATGGTGCGTCACGACGACTCGAGGCCATTCCAATGCGATATTTGCAAGAAATCCTTTCAGCGTAAGAAAACTTTAGAGTTTCACAGGCGGATCCATACGAATGATAAGAGATATGCTTGTAAGGAATGCGGGAAAGCTTTTGTTCAAGTCACCAGTTTGAAACTGCACGTGAGAGTACACCATTCCAAAGAAGAGACTGCAGCGTACAATTAAGTAATGTATGCGAATAGATTATGAGCTAATTTCTTCAATATCTATTGATATTGTTATTCTATCTAGAATAACTTAGATACCGGTTAATACTTTAATTTGATCTGCATTAAAATTTATGCATCTATATCAAACTTGATAGTGTTTAGCAACTTAAAAATAAATAAATTAAAAAGAAACATTATCAAAAGAGACTTGGTCTTTTAATTGAAGGTAGTTTACATAACCTTCACCATCACTTAACATCAGGTGGGGAGGAGTCATTTGTCGGACCTATCTATAAAAAAGACATTTCCCAAAGGGGTCGCCATGTAGGTAAGCGCGTGGAATAAGGATGTTCTTGCTTTCTTTACATTTCGCTACATTTTTATAACGTCGAGTGCGATATTTTGACATCGGTACTTCAATTGCGTCTTTATTATCGCAGTAGTGTGTTACTTCGTAACCGTTCTCTTTCATAATGTACTAAAAACAAATATCGCATTAACGCATCCTATAATGCATTACTATTAGTGCTACGACATGATATTTCTCGCAGAGTCATGTGTGCGTGACTCTTATGTCAGATTGTATTAAAGCAGTTAATGTGTGCGTGTGTAACGAAGACTACCACAAATATGTCCTCGTCGAATGATATTTTTGTGCCGTTTCCGTGCAGTTAATGCGGTATTTATAGGTACTGTATTTACATTCTTCCGAGACAAATGGCAAACAAAAATATAATGCTTTTCAATAGTTCGAATTTTATACGCATATAAAGGAGGAGCTCGATGGCGCAGGTGATCGTTGAAGTTAAGCAACTTTCGCAGTGGTCGGTCATTGGATGGGTGACCAAAAATCTTCTATCTCGAGTTCCTCCGTACTTCGGAAGGCACGTTAAGCCGTTGGTCCCGGCTGCATCTGTAGTCGTTAGCACCCACAAATCCGCACTGGACCCGCGTGATGAGTCATGGCCCAATCTCCATATTCCATCCATAGGGAAGGCCTGTGCCCCAGCAGTAGGGGCATTAATAGGCTGATGATGATAAAGGTGTCGATTTTTGGCATCATTCTCTAAACTTAAAACTAAATTTAACATCAATCTCTCTTTTTCATTCTATAAAGAGAAGGACAAGGATACACTGGTGTCAATTCTGGCAGGATTCTCTAAACTTAAAACTAAATTTGACATCAGTATGTCCTTTTCAGTCTGTATAGAGAATGACAGAGATACACTGTTGTCAAATTTAAGTTTAGGTTTAGAGAATCATGCCAGAATTTATACCAATGTTGACAAATTAAAGTTTAGGTTTAGAGAATTATGCCAGAATAGATATCATATTCAAAATTTTAAAAAATGTGTCATTAAAAAACCTGAAACTATAGCTATGCCCAAACTTTGAACGCTTTTTAATACTACTAAGGTGAAGAGTAGTGTTATAGAGAATCGTTTCGTTAAACCGATGCCCTTCTTTATTCTCGATAAAAAAGTTTTAGCATTGGCTTATTTGTTTACCTTTTGTCTCAGAGGAAGTTGGATAGAGTATAGGATGTATATAAACAAAATAAAATGAAAAATAAAGTAAATTTTATATAAATTATCATTTATTATCACAACACATACAAAAGTTCAATAATTTACACAACATTATGTACATTATCTATTTACAAAAATGAGTTGAAATTATTGCAACTCATTATTTGGCCGACAGGTTTTACGAAGGGGCGACGAAAATATAAAGGCATTCGTTACTAAACTGAACTAAATTTTGATGATATTTACTAATTCTAGGGGATAGAAATTGTAAATGGCCTGTACGCCTCTGCTCCACATGTGACTTAAGACATATTAAGGGCATTGACCCACTAACTCAAAATTTAGTCGCGAGAGGGACAATGGGAATATCTATACAGTCACGTTCTTTAGTTTGAGATCCACCTGAGGTTGAATATCGTTGACACTGACTGATAATGAAAAAATCAAAAACGAAATTACCTATATAATTTTGAAAAGATTTTCACATGAAGTAAGTGTCAACGATTTATTAATCGGAGAATTTTGACTTCATTGTGAAAATTCGCATTGCCATAATTTCGAAATGCCAGTGTCCTTCTGTATTTTTTTACGAACTTTATTACTGTTCTTAATTCCAACTAAAAAAATATCAATGAATGGATCCCAAATTATAGCACCTGATTGTACATATGTACAGTACACGGTAAACTAGTTAGTTACAATACATTTTTATTGCTTGCATTACAGTTCATATCTAACTAAAACACATTTAACTCGAATAATTGATTGAAAAGCCTCTGGTGACTTAATTTGGTCATTTGCATTTTCAACTTAATCGAACACAATTTTTTGTTATTTCTGTCGCCGAAAACAAAATTCTCTTTAAGATTTCAGAGCCTCAAAGCAGTTGCCCTAAAACAAGAAGAAAAGATTTCGACTTTCAGACCCGTCTGAGAGTCACCCAAAGCAGAATTGATTTATTTCAAACATTTCTTACAAGATATAAAATCACTGACGATTAAGTAGGCTTTTTTTTTCGACAGTGATTTTAAAAATAATAATTTTGGGTTGAACTTACAACCCCAAAAAATCAGAGGCAGCCGGGACCAACGGCTTAAAGTGCCTTCTGATTCCGAAGCACGGGTAAGCGAGAAATAGCAAATTTTTGGTCCTCCATCTACGGTTTAAAAAATTGTGTGGCTTTATGAAACCACGTTGCAAGTGAAACATTTAAAATAAATAATTAAAAAAGTATTTCCTCGGCTGGTAATTGAACCCCGGCTGCCAGCGTGGCAGGCAAGCTTTCTGAAATTGAACCACCGTTGCATGATAAGTTTTTACAACAATCATAAATATAAAGCGACATGTTAAGGATGTACGAAAAAAATTGTGGTGATGTAATAAAAGTTTTACTTTGATAAAGATATCTCTCTCTCATATTACTGATTTGATTTTTTAACTAAAATGAGGAAATCGTTTTGTCATAACGATCTTTATAAATTGACTACCTTCCTATGAAGCGTTTTTAGTAATTAATTTTAAGCGACATTATAAAAAAGGATGTAGACCCACTGGTAAAATACTGAATTACTATTTACTATGAGGGGTCAACAGGAATATTGTGCCTAGCATTTTACTAATAATGGAATTATCGGGAAAAAAAGAATGTAACAATCAATAAAAGGGGCCAATGAGAATACAATTAGCTAACTTAAAAAAAATATAAGGGACAGTGGAAATAAAAATCGTTTATTTAAAAAGGGATAATGGGAACAGATTGACTAGTGTATGTGTACATAGCTATAATCACTTTACGAAACTAATTATGTAATATAACATTTAATTATTGCCTCATATAAATATACGAATTGAGCCCCATTCCTATTGAACCATTAATAAATTAAATAACGAAAATAATTACAGAGTTAGTTTATACGAAAAGAAAATCTTATTTTATGATTATCACACATATTGGGACGACTTAAGGTATACTTTTGTTTGACATGAAACTTCATATCGTTGCCGTAAGCGTCGTTTCCCAAAAGCAGCAAATTTTCATCGACCGCAAACAAGGATTGATGACACGAGATCTGAATAATATAAAACATTTTTTTTGTGTTGATATAGATATAGCTTATACTAGATTAAGAATCAAATAAAAATACAGTATGCATCAGCTGATAACTTTTCTATATATTTCATTTACGCAATTGCAAAATTCCTTTATTTATTATGGGAGTTTTCGTAGGGGGGACAGGAATTATTCGTTCATTTCTAGTATCAAATCTTCGATATAATAACAATCCTGGGTGCCATCAGTTTAACTTACATACATCAATGTAACTTGAATTCTAGGGTGGGCATTGTATATAAGCAGTGTCACTTCTTAGCATTGCAGACAAATACCATATTAAATGAGATACTGTTACAAATATGACGCATTCCAGTACATACCAGTAGTAATATTAGTTCAAAAGGCTTTCTTCGTCCTTTGCGGTAGAATTGATTCCTTTGCAAAACTAAAGAAGGATAACAAGCTGTACTTCTTGGACGTTCTAGACAGATAATCTGTCACTACGTTGTTGTCGCCTGCAAGTAGAAAAAACATATTATTTTTGAAACACCACCATATTTCTTTCAATGTTATCCTACTTCACTACATAGTATAAAACAAAGTCGCTTTCCACCATCTGAATGTCTGTCTGTCTCTATGTATGCTTAGATCTTTAAAACTACGTTATGCGGTATAATATTAAACTATATAATGCGGTTTTAAACAGTAAAGTATAATTAATTTCATTTCATTTCATAGGTAGGCTAAAGCTCTAAATAAAGTAGTAATCTCAATTCAACTAAAACTAGATTTAACTCATTGTAATCTAGGTATCGTAAAATCGAGATTTGATAAAATTGTTGCAAGTGGCACTTAAAAACAAATATTCCCACTGTCCCCACAAACACTAACATTACTTTTAATGTGTCTAGTACAATAAAAAAAAACACTTTTCAATCAACGGGTTTAAACTTCGTTTTTAATACCTACTTTTCTACATATTTCTAGTGTTAGAACCTTTTTAGGATGTGTTAGCAAGAGTATGATTTTTAATTACTTTTGACAAACATTCCTTCGAAAAACTTTTAGTGAATGTGCGGATACTTCATTGAAAGATTATTGAAAATAAAAATATTGTCTATGTATGAATATTAATTTAATAGATAATTTAATCTAAGCTACTTTATTTAATTTGTGTTTTATTTATATGACCCTAACTACCGGAAACTACCACCGGTTCCAAATAATATACTTTTAATGTCTCTAGTACTGTAAAAACACCATATTCACCTAACAAGCTTTGTCTCTCGTCACTGGTTGTGGGCAACACATAGTCGTTTGCTGACAGCGACACGAAGAGAGCCAGCGGCACAACCCACAAACATAAAGTGAAGTATGCCAGTACCTGTTGGAGAAAAATTAGTGAGTAAAAAAATCAATTCTGCTTGAAACTGCGTGAGAATGCTTGTTAACGTAACCTTAATGTATGCGTGACAGAAATTACTTTATTCCTTTGATTATATACACGCTTAAATACCGTATGAACTGCATGGAAGCAGCACAAAAAATATCTACTACATATGGTAGATAAGCTCGTCGCTCCACACGGACACACTGACTGCTTTCAAACAATTTGACATACCAATCACGCACACATCGCGCGTAATATGAGCTATTTTCTTTGCGTTCTTTACCTATATAAAGTATGTATATGTAATCGTGTACATAATCAAAGTGTGTATATAACTTAAAACGACTTTGTATGCATACTTTATAGCAAAACAAACGGCAATGGCCGTAGCTAAGTTTGAATTTGACGACGTCCGTAACCAAGTGGTTTGTACACTGAGTTTAAAGGTGTCGTCTACTCAAGAGGTCTCGGGTTTGAAACCCGGTGGGGGTTTGTGTGATGTATACGAGCATTTGTACTCAAGTCATGGATGTTTTATATGTATTTCTATATAAATATATTTATATTTGTATTCTATCCATTACCCTAGTATACCATAACACAAGGCTTACAGTGCTTACTTTGGGGCAAGGCTAATTGGTGTGTTTAAAAAAATAAATAAATAAAATGGATCATAATTTACAAAACGAAACCGCACGACAATAAACTGACGCAAAGTTAGGGATGGATGGCGCAAGCGATTAGCGCTTTCGGCTGCAATCGTTGAAGTGAAAAATACCAACATACCTCTGAAAAGTTATAAAACACTGTTCCGAAGTACTTCAATGCCAAATAGTGGTGTAAAACCAGTGTGGAGACCGCTGTTATGAAAGAAAAGCTGGTCACTCGAACCACAGGGAATTCTTTCAAGAGTACCACATGTAACAACTGTTGGAACAGACCCAGAGCGTTGAGATGTAGCGGTATGTCCTCAAATATCATTAACAGAATGTGGATTGCAGCTGTTATCTGAAAATCAAAGAAAAATCACATTTAGCCCTCATGACAATAAAATTGTCTGAGACTATGTGCCTATGAGGAGCTCGATGGCGTAAGTAGCATTGCCAGGCGTCCGGATAAAGCCAGACATTAACTTTTTGATTGCGGGTCTGGCCAAAATAAATAGTGTACGGATGGTTTGGCATTTGTTAGGCTTTTTACATTTCGCAAACGAGCAAATGCTGAGAGTGGTAGAGAGCAAGGGAGTTAACTGTCGGTCGCTTTCACATAAAAAAATTTCTTGTACCTAATATTACTGAGCCACAAAATCCTTTAATAATGTAGGGTGGCCAGCCTTTTTCTCCCATATGTCCAGTCAAACTGACTGGTCTGTCCTGCTATTAGGTTTGGTGGGCTGGCAACCCTAGGCGCAACTGATTGTGATTAGTGTGTTCACCTGCGATTGTTGAAGTAAAGCAACTTTCACTGTGGTTGGTCATTGGATGGGTGACCTTAAATTTACTTTCTCAAGATCCTCAGTGCTTTAGAAGACACTTGAAGCTGTAGGTCTTGGCATATCTACACAGGGCCCACGGGGTGGGTCAAGGCCCAGTCTTCCTACTTTATTCATAAGAAAGGCAAAGCAATTTTTTGCATGGAGATATTAGCTACATAATTTAGCTTGCTCTCTTTTTATTTTTTTTATATAGATATGTCTGACAAATGACTCCACCCCACCTGATATTAAGTGAAGGTGAAGTCCAGACGTGAAGATAGCTGATACAGCAGTTCTACAGTTCTATATTAGGCCTATGTTTCTTTTAAAGCATTCAATTACTTTTTCTATTTTGAGCACACAACACTCCCATGTTATTTTAGTGGTTTAATTAATGATAGGAAAGATGCCAGAAAATACTTACAATCACTGTCCAAGTGATCACATATCTAGTCATAACAGTATATTCTTCTACTAATTCCGCTAAATAATACAAGCCAGCCGCTGAAACACAGGTTTACCACAAGGAAATTAAGAACTTTAAAATCACTTGAAACAATTAAAATTACAGGTTCGAAATGGAGCAATAACAAAGACACAAGTAATAGAGATTGTCTAATATGAAAATATATTTTCTATTAATAGCACTGCGTTTTAATTTAATTTTTAAAGTACCCAGTTCTTTGCCAAGGTAATTGTAACATAGCGTAATGAAATTCTACACAATTCTAAATGAATGCTCACCTATTGCTAACGTCACAAACACCGCTTGCAACACAAAAGACAAAATACTCATTAAATATAGAAGTAACATTTTGTTTTATTAATATTTCTCTAATTGTTTTGATCGTAACAAAAAATGTTTTTAGGTTATACGCGTTGTCAAACGTCAATGTCAAGGTAATGTCAGTCAAATGTCATTTCGAGTATGGATGCATTCAACCAAATACTAGAAACTACCGAGTTCTATACTATTTGATTCAACAAAGAATAATTTTCGAATACATACTATTCGAATTAATTTTAGCTGTCCGTGAGTATGTAATTGATTTACACTCCAAATGGCTGGATCTATTTCGGTGAAAATTAGGATTCAACAGAGTTCGTGGTTTAGGACAGAAATGTGTTTTAGAATCTTCTGAATTCCTTCCAGATAGATTTAAATGAATTTTCATATGTGCATTTGAGTGGATTCCTGGCTTAGATTCACAACTGGGCCCGATATGTGGTGCTGTAGTAATGTATGTCCCTTTACTCATGAGTGTCGTAGTTGTTGACTCGAATTGAAAAAATGAAGTTCACTTCATTGGATAATATTAAAATAACCACAACAGAAACCAAACCAATAAACCCCCCCCCCCCCCCCCCCAAGGATGACCGCAATTTGATATATAGTTCGTTTTTATGACGCTCAATTGTCAAAATACTTTGGAGTTTGGCAGTAGAGACGACAAAAAATGTGATATAATGTAAATTGTGATGCTGATGCTACAGGGAATAATGTAATTTGCTCATATACAGGGACTGTTTTGGCATGTTTTTTTTAAATAACTAAGTTTTTCGCTTGGGTCGATATAAATTCACATATTGTACGTGTTTTAACTAATAATTTTAAATGCTACTAGTGTCCGGATGACCGATACATGTGTCCGGAAGCCCGTCACCGAAATCGTCCATCACCTATAACATGCTTGATGGAGTTTTGGCATGTTAAGATAACAAGTTAAAAACGATTACCATTTTCCCTATACTTATACTTTGTGGGTGGAATCAATTCCTCCGGGGTATGTTGGGCCAAGGATCTGGATGGTCAAGGTGACATAATGTTCGGATGTTATAAAGACCGTTAGCCAATATGAACAAGTCTCGAAAATTGGCTTGTTTAACTTCTAATTTGCCACTTTTGCCTAAAGATTTAATTCTGCTGTCCTGTTACTTGTCATTTTGACACACTGGACATTTTGACACTTGGCCCAACATACCCCGGAGGGGAATCAATTCCCATTTCGTTTTGCTGGCGTGAGGTGTTTGAATCTTTTCTTTTGATATATTTTCTATTGTTGCAATGTTGCAGAAATGAAAAATAAACAACAAGTTCTACTGATTATAAATTATAATTTTATTTAATCATTATAAATAATTTATTCAAAACAATAGTGGAGGCATTAAATTATGTATAACAAAATGCATTTCATGAAACCACTACTAGGGTCTCCGCATAAGCTTCGCCGAAGGAATTCGTAACTCTACAACCGTAATAACCGGAGTCAGATTTCTGGACCTTGTCAATCTTCAGATTGTTTTCGTACTTTATGGTGTTATACGGCGCCGAGTTCTTAGGGTTTGTTGGTCCGTCACGTACAACCTTTGTGTTGTGTGTCCAAGCTACCTCTCCTGCAGGCTTGACTTCAAACTCACATGGTAGAATCAGTTCTTGGCCTACTTTCACATTGATACGCTTCTCGGGTTTCTTGAGGAATTTTGGTGGACCTGAAATTTTAAAATTTACATATAAATATAAAGCTTTCCATAGGCTGCGAAAAGAAAGCCATAGAAAGCGTCAAATTATGTCAAATGTGGCGTCGATTTTTGAAAATCTGGCTAAAGGAGTTGTATCTTCATCTATAATTAATAATTATTTAATGTGTTATGTTGTATGATCAATATACGGTGGTATTAGTAAATAATTTCAAAAACTGATTTTAGACATTGGAGAAATAGTTAGTTATTTTTTTTATCTTATTTTGTAATGATGGCTAGGATTTTTCAATTTCAATTATGATTTCTGATAACTTGATTGAATGCTGTGCGCATCTATTAAAGGTGTAATTAACTGGACTGTATTATTATGAATTGTTTTGTAATGCTTGTTCTATCTACTGTTGGTGTGTCTTATATAAATAAATATATGTTATTCATCAATATTCACTAACATCTGTTCAGTAGTAAAGGCGTGTAATCGTATAAACGGTAAAGACAAAAAAATAATGTCACTTTAGATTTTTCATTAGAGCAAGTATAAACCGTTGTAAATGTGAAAGAAGAAAACAATATTAGAAAGTAATGTAACAACTTAAATCGCGTAAAACTCGTCGAATCGAATCATTTGTTTATTCGTTCCATATAATTATAAATATTGACTCGATATTATGTATTGATTCTCTTCAAAGTTTTTAATTTCACGGATTGTGTTCCGTGTCTAATTCGGTGCTTTAACTTATAACGCGATTATAAAATAATTTCCGATAGCAACAAATGACGCATTTGTTTCTTTGGTAACAATAGAGAAAGCACAGCGAATCAATAGGGAGGTAATAAAATTTATTCATTTGTAAGGAATTTATAATTAGACGACCTTCGTAGCACAGTGGTTTGTCGGATGAATACGAGCATTTGTATCTAGGTTCAAGGTTGTTTATGTATATTTCTCCAAAAAGATATATGTAGTTATCTATGTATTTCTATACGTTACCCTCAACACAGGGCTTACACTGCTTCCTTGCTTTTGGGCAAGGATGATTGGTGGGAGTGTAAGAAATATATTATACTAGCTGTGCCCCGCGGTTTATTAGGGATATTTTCCCCGCAGTAAAACGTAGCCTATGTGTTAATCCAGGGTGTCAGCTAACTCCATATCAAATTTTATTGAAATTGCTCCAGTCGTTTAGACGTGAAGAAGTAACAAACATACACACTCGCAAACTTTCGCCTATTAGTGTGAATGTCCGGGGACAGTAGAAGAACTAAAGGCACATGGAGCAGATACGATGAAAAAAGTAAATACATTTTTTGTCTCTGTAAACTGTTTTTACGACGGCATATTCACGGGACCTATTTATTCACAACACGATGCTTTGTGATGTATTGACGCGAATTTATAGTTGCATTTCGAGTTCCGTGCATACCATCTGCCTTTTGTTCGGTAATCTGAGCTAATATCATTAAATATTACCTACTCACGACATCATTATCATTATATTTTTTTTACATTCATTGAGTGCCCACGATACAGGACCTCCTATTGTGGGACCCATGGTTATAAGCTGACTGTATGATGTAAATTTTAATAAATATATTTGTATTATTTCTTTGTATCATTAAGGTGCATCGTATGGCTGTACACATGTTCTACTCGGTCGATTATAGGGGTTCATGATCTTTTGAATAAAATATTGTGTTCTGTATGATACTTACTGACAACAGTAAGGTGCATCGTATGGTTCTGTACTTTCCCCGCTTCATTGTCGACGACGCAGATGTATTGGCCATCGTCTTCAGGCAAGGTATCTTTGATCAGGAGCCGCTTGCCCTTACTGCGGTTGTAGCGAGTCACTCGGTCTCCGGGTTCATTGTTTACGTTCACACCGTCCTTCCACCAGTCAGGGTGTGGCATTGGGCTGGGAGAAATTGCCAGTTTAAAGTGGGGAAAAGTAAATGTAGCTTTAGGGCAGGGATGGGCAAGAAGCGGGGAAGTCCCGCAACGGGAATCTCGCGGTTCCTACGTAACAGCGTAGAGGGTATTTGCAGGGTTTTTAGCGGATAGTATGCCGTAAGCGCTCGTAAGCCACGCGGACTGCTTAACGGCTTCTCCGTTACGCACCCGTGAGACTTGTGAGAGGCTAGGTGTGAGGTCAGTTCGTTGGTGTGCCCCTTAAGGGCGCCAACGTCTGTAAATAGAGGTTTTGACTGCGTAATAAAAAATAAAAGGGCAGGGATGGGCAAACTACGGGCCGCGGACCATCTCCGATCCTCGCATGGTGGAAATCCGGCCCGCGAATAAATATCAAAAGGTACACACCAAAACTATTTTTGTTTTCAGTATGTTCCGACAAGAATCAACCCGCTTTACTTTGAAGTAGACTCAGAGGTGTATTTATCTTGCTACTGAGCTGCAGGGTGAGGGGCATTTTTCCCGTCATGAATTCTGATTGTTAATATTGGTGTCGATTCTGGCATGATTCTCTAAAGCTAAACTTAAATATGATAACAGTGTGTCCTTGTCATTCTCTATAAGGAAGGAAAAAGACAGACTGATGTCAAACTTTAGTTTTAAGTTTAGAGAATACTGCCAGAATCGACACCACAGGCTGTGCTGGAGAAGCTCGATGATCGTGGGTTTGTTTGCTCTGTCACCATCACAGAAGAGAACCAAAAACTTATTGTCTCGTACTCCTCCATGCTTCGGAAAGCACATTAAGCACCCACCAACATGCACTAAACCTGCGTGGAGGCTCATTGCTCTTTCTTCTTGTGACATCTAGAAAGAAAGCCCGTGCTTAGCAATGGACACATTAATTGGCGAGCGAGATTACTAAATAGAGCATATAGCATAGCACAGCACAGAATATCATGATATTGGTGTAGATTCTGGCATGATTCTCTAAATTTAAATTAATATATGTCTATTTTTATTGTCCTTTTCATTCTGTATAGAGAATGAAAAGGTTACACTGTTGTCAAATTTAACATAATGGTGTCGATTCTAGCATGATTCTCTAAACTTAAAACTAAATTTAACATCAGTCTCTCCTTTTCATTCTGTATAGAGAATAATAAGGATGCACTGTTGTCAAATTTAAGTTTAGGTTTAGAGAATCATGTCAGAATCGACACCATTATCAAAATCCTTCCTTCCTTAGATTTACACGCACATTAAAAAAATACATTGTTACTTGAAAGCAAAGGATGCTAAGTCCATTCTTCCTTTTAGGTAATAAAAAAATAATTAACATGTCTTTTTTTGTGTCACTTAACACGCTCTGCCAGAATAACAGCGCTGTTGCGACACAATGTCGCATCAGCTAATGCTGAGGCAGAGTCCTGGTTAGCCCTGTGTTTTTTGAATTTGTATCTGTAAATGTGAATATCTGTAATATGAGGGTAAATAAAATATATGCTATTCTATTCTACACGCGGACCAGGCAGCAGACGGGACTCGAACCCGCACTCTTCAGTGCATTCGCTCGGATAGCGAAGGGAGCTGGTTCGAGTCCAGTCTTTTTTTAGATTAAGGTTTTGTTGTTAATTTCAAAGAAAAAATTTGCTTATGAATATAAAAAGAACAAAAGTTCCAATTGAGTTATTTTAGTATTAAAGGCAGTTGTGCAACGAAGACCCTGATGTGCCGAAGTGGCAGAAAAACTATAAATAAACATTAATTTGTATTAAGGTCCACAGAAATGTTAAACATCATTGAAAAGCGCTACAAAGCAATCTGATTCATGCTTCAGGGACACATGCATGACTCAACTTCAGCGAATTCTTAAGTTTATGCAAATAACTTTGGTAATAATAAATCATTGAGGATTTTCCACAAATAGATAAATGCATTTTTTCGTAGAAGTATGTAAATAAGTTATTGTGAACATATTACCTAATTAAAAACAACATAAATCTACATTCCTATTTAGATTGCGATAAGTAAGTATGAGGAGCTCGATGGCGCAAGTGGTTAGCGCGTTCGGCTGCGATCGTTGAACTTAAGCAACTTTAGCAGTGGTCGCTCATTGGATGGGTGACCAAAAATTACTATCTCGAGCTCCTCCGTGCTTCGGAAGGCACGTTAAGCCGTTGGTCCCGGCTGCATCTGCAGTCGTTAGCACCCACCAATCCGCACTGGGCCCGCGTGGTGGGTCATGGCCCAATCTCCCTATTCGGTCCATAGGGAAGGCCTGTGCCCCAGCAGTGGGGACATTAATAGGCTGATGATGATGATGAAGTAAGTATGAATATTTAACAACAACAAAATTTTATTCCAATCCAGCCCCTCTAGCATGACCACCGAAACGGGATATGATAAAGCGATATATCGGCATTAACTGTCAGACTACTATAGAGTTTGACAGAAGTCTGACAGTTAATGTCGATATATCGCTTTATCATATCCCGTTTCGGTGGTCATGCTAGAGGGGCAGGGGGCCAATCGCCTAACGGGATTGCTTTGTTATCGCTATCGCTTACGATTTCATTTTGTTATTTCTGACCGCCGGAGATTTTCAAATGCTCGCGCTCTTATTTTATTTTGCATTGGTAATAACAATAATAAAGAAAATGATATGAATATTAATAATAATAATAAATATTTCCAACACTCACACCAATTAGCCTAGCCCCAAAAGTAAGCACTGTAAGGCTTGTATTATAGGATACTAGGGTAACGGATAGAATACAGTCATATACAGTACATATATAAGTATGTATATTTATATATAAATACATATTAAACATCCATGATTGGAGTACAAATGCTCGTTTAGTTTAGTTTAGTTTAGTTTTTCAGGGCGGTTTCCGCACTTAGTCCTAATTATTGGACCATTGTGCGTATCTCATAAACATTCCCGCTTACTCCAGCCAGCCTATATCGGTCCAGAAGGAAAGCAGCCTTGATAGACTGCTGCAAGCTTCCGGAAACGATTCTGGTGACTGGAGAAGTCGTGCCCGTTGGTCGGCCACACTCCTGCATTCCATGCTGACATGCTGTGGCGTTTCTTCTGCCTCCATGCATCCTCTGCATAGGGGGCTGTCTGTAACCCCCATTGTATATAGGTGTTTGTTCAGGGGACAATGACCAGTCAGGGATCCTATAATCCTGCGAAGTTTGTCCCTATTTAGTCTGGTAAGGGTGCGGGCAAAACTTTTATTTACCGCCGGAACCGCGTTTTTCGTTTGCCGGCATCCTTCACCTGTTTTCCACTCCATCAAGTGTGATTTATGAGTTATTTCACGCAGCCACGTTTTAATTTGGGCCTGAGGTATGGGCAGCAAAGGCTCCGGACCGTACATCTTTGTGTCTGCTCCCCTCTTAGCCAGTTCGTCTGCTGCGTCGTTTCCAATTGAGCTGCTGTGTCCTTTTATCCATTGCAGAGTTACCGTGTTGTTAACCGCAATGGATTGAAGTGCCTTGTGGCACTCCATTACTAGGACAGAGTTTATTGTGTTGCTACGTAGGGCTTGAAGCACGGATGCACTGTCAGAGATGATCTTGATGTTATACTCTCTGATATCTCTGGCTGCAACCGCCTGTGCCGCTCTGGTAATGCCAATACATTCCGCCTGGAAGATTGTACTTTGTTTGCCTAGGGTTGTAGATATTTTAATATTCAGGTCGTTTGAGAAGACACCGGCTCCAGTGCCACTGTTGGTTTTGGAGCCATCCGTGTATATCCTAACTTCCCCGGCGCCGGAGTAATCTGCCTTTTCCGCGGTAAGTTGGATATTGTATCTTCGATCAAAGACGTGTTGACTTAATATTCTATCCATAGGTGCCTCCAGGAGTGGGATCTCCTTCGTGCACTTTTGTAGAATATTGGAGTGTGTTGTTACAGTATTTAATCTCCATAATCCTAGAGATTTTAGTCTCAAGGCTGCTGCTTTCGCCTCTTCTTGTATGACCAGGTCCAATGGTCTTAAATTCATGAGGTACTCTAATGCAGCGGATGGAGTTGTTGTACAAATGCTCGTATTCATCACACAAACATCTGCCCCCACCGGGATTCGAACGCGGGACCTCTCAGTCGGCGCACCATGAAACACGGCGTACAAACCACTCGACCACGGAGGTCATCAAGATTGATATTAATGTTCGTGAGGTATTTAAAAACCTTCGGCTGTCAGAATATAATTCTATAATCCTATAATCAGTCCTTCCTATAATCTGGGGTCCTTTAAGAATGGCGTGAAGAAGCATTTTTGCAGGCCGGCAAGGTGAGGATGGTTGGTGTGGCAGTTTATAACTGCTGTTCCAGCTATCTTCGCGTTTGGACTTTATCATCACTTAACATCAGGTGGGGTAGAGTCATTTGCCTACCTCGCTTAAATAAAAAAATAATTCGTAAGCGATCTTTCTTTTCAGTATGTATATGTACTCAATCCGTTACCCTAGTATCCCATAACACAAGCCTTTACAGCGCTTACTTTGGGGCTAGGCTAATTGGTGTGAGCTGTGCCGTCTTTGACCTATTGGAGGCCCTGGGCACGTTAGGATCATGGTGACCCTATGACCCCCGTTTGGTGATTTAACAGGAACTAGGGACTTTGTATTTGATTTGAGGGGGGCCCCTATCGATCGCGCGGCCCTGGGCATTTGCCCAAAGTGCCCACTGGGAAAGAGGGGTCTGGGTGCGAGTGTTGGAAATATTTATTTATTAAATAGGCTACTTACTTCCCACCATAGATGCAGTAGATCTCCGTGACGTCACCGACCTTCGCCGTCAAGTCTCCGTTGACGAACTGGCGCACCACCTCGTGGTCCGATGGCTTGTCATCCTTCGCAAGCCCCTGTACCTCCCATTCAACCACTGGCACTTTTTTATCAACCGCCGGCGATGTCACAAGGCAAACGTAATGAAACCTGGAAAAATGTATTAATGAATGACTTACCAGAAAAGCATCGTGAAAAATGTTTTTATAAAGCCTTGAATATTTACAAGTATTCTTCTTATATTATAAATGAAATTGTTACTAAATCACGATAATACTTCTTAATAGATTTGCATGAAATCATGTAAAGTTATTTATTTGACATTGTGAGTTATGGACCCGCCTGCTGCCTGGTCCGCGTGGAATTTTATTCTAGTAAATTTTTCTTAAGATTTAAACATCTAGCAATTAAATGCTTAAAAATTAAACACATAACTATGTATGGATATAGTTTATGTGCTGGATGGAGACATGGGATACTTTCTATCCCGGAAAAATGTTAGGTTCCTGTGGGATTCTCGAAAACTAAAGTTAACGTGTACGAAGTCATAGGCGGTCGCTAATAAAATAACAATAAAATGCTGCATGGTTTGGCTTATCACAGGTAACCAGCGAATACGGGTACATTTTCCCGAATTACTGATACGCTGAACCCGGGAATATTCTAGCAACAATAAATAGATTATTGAGAATTTTGATTATTCCCTGTGGCAGCACATTGCTAGTCAGAATGACTTGGTTGTTATGGTCGTGTTCTTAATGTATTGTTATACCTAACATGATTTTTGTGAAAGAAAATATTTGGATGATCTCTCGGAAACTTTTTACTTATAAAAGTAAAAATAAACTAAAATAATTCTTAATTTTGTAAAACTTCATTGAAATGTAAATTTAGTGGTGTTAAGGTGTTAAGTTGTTAATCGAACCAATTATTCGTATAATTCACAACCAGTGCGTTAACAGCAGTGATGTGCTGATCCCGGGAATACTAAGTAATAATTTACTCGGAATTCACCAGTTTCCAATGAAGACCGGGAAGATTGCCAATAATCCAGGGAACATAACCGGGATATTTGAATATTCACAGAAGAAATAATTTCGGGAATGTCGCTAGCGATGATTTTGATTAGATACCTAGTTGTGGCATCAGTGGCGGATTTACCAGTAGGCTCAGTAGGCTGGAGCCTAGGGCGGCAGATTTTAGGGGGCGGCAAATTTGCCCCAAAATATACACAGAAAAACGAGTGACAATTTTTTTAAAATTTTAGTAATGTACAGTATACTCAACACTCTTACGTCCGTAATCCGTATATAAAAGATTACTAAGCGCACTGTAAAATATAGATACTTATGCGATCATGAATTTTTAAAATATTCCAATAGCGTTTCAATATTAATTACAATTTAATTTTAGTATTTTTTTAAACTAACGGAAAAGCCGACGTAATATGGGCGATAGAACACAAATCATTAAGTTGCAATTTCAGAATAAATATAATTGTGAACTAGCGTCTTGAATTTCAAAGGTCAGTAGGGGCGGCAAAAATTGAATAGCCTATTAGCGGCAAAATTGTAAATCCGCCACTGTGTGGCATAGAAAATATGTAGATACGAATTGGGAATTCCGGTGCAGTCACGGGCCAATCTCCCTATTTCATCAATAGGGAAGGCCTGTGCCCCAGCAGTAAATACGTTAATAGGGTATGATGATGAATTTTTTTCACCTTTTCTTCAGAGGATCACGCGTGCTGGCCTAGATTGCCACCGACTTACTGTGGCCACTATTCCTAAACGAATAAAGAAATTTGGTGATTCATTTCTTTATCATACTATTTGTAAATGGAATTCTTTGCCCGCGCACGTGTTCCTTCCTACAATCTGGGGTCCTGCGGGTGAGGATGGTAGTTTATAACCGCTGTACCAGCTATCTTCGCGTTTGGACTTTATCACCCCTTAACATCAGGTGGGGTCAGTCATTTGCCTACCTAGTTCTAAAATAATAATAAAAAAAAAGTGATGAGACATTTTCCGCGGGAAGTTTGAACAGTCAATTATCAATATTGTAATTGACATGGATCTAAATGTAACAGCTGTATGTAAGATCGTGAGTAAATTTAGAACTCCTACCTAAGTAAGTATATTTTTGCGAAAGAATTTTCAGACGGAAACTCCAATAAAAATTTGCATGCAACTTGAATGTGCCAGTTAAGATACCGATCACCGAATGCAACCCGATATCAAAGTTGCGAGGCATTAAGTACATCATTTGCATTTTTATTCAGTTCTTTCTTTATCTTACTAACTTAAATTGTTTAGCAAGTCCTAAAATGATTCAAAGCTATGTGAGTTTATTCAATTGAATGATAATTAACAAAATTTGACGACCTCCGTGGCCGAGTGGTTTGTACGCCGGGTTTCCGGTGGGGGCAGATGTTTGTGTGATGAATACGTGCATTTGTACTCCAGTCATGGATGTTTAATATGTATTTCTATATAAATATACTTATATATGTATTCTATCCGTTACCCTTTTTTTTTTTTTTTTTTGTTGACGGTGGAAAATGCATTTACGCACCATACCGCGCGCTTGCCAGGCGCGCGACGTGTGTGGGACTCCCCGGCGTGGAACAACGCCGGTCCTACCCACTAAAAACCACCGGTACCCTCCTCGGCCCTTATGAGGGCGCTCTGGGATCGGTGCACCTACGTGCGCCACTACACCAGAGCGTCCTAGGGCTGGCCCGGCCCAACGAGTGGACCGGGCGACGCGCCTATGGGGGGATTACTCTAGGGTACTAGGTAATCCCCAGACGGGGTGGCCTATGCCGAATGGCACCAAGGACGCGCGGCTGGCATGCCGCGCCCAGTCCACCTTAGGGTCGACGAAGACCGGCGGTCAAAGCCGCCTGTCTTCTTCGGCCCACCCGTCTACGCCGGAGGGGAGCGGCCAGAGCGTCCTCCTCCCGCTCCCTCTCCGCTGCCTCCTTCTGCCCCATCACAACCTCGCAGAAGGAGGCGGCAGCCTTCCATGCTCTCTCATTGCCAAGCATGGCTCGAACCATACTTGGCAATGAGAGCGCTCCACCGCCGAGCGCCGCCACCAACGTGCGGCGCTCGTTTCGCCAGGCCGGGCACACGATCAGTGTGTGCTCGGCCGTGTCGTCGGGGGAGGCGCAGTGATGACACCGCGGCAGCTCCTCCCGACGGGCGACACGGTGCAGGTAGTGGCCAAAGCACCCATGTCCGGTCAGTACCTGCACCAGGCGGTAGGTGAGGCTGCCCCGCTGGCGCCCTACCCACTCCTCCAACACCGGACGGATCGCCTCGATCGTCCGGTGGCCAGCGGCTGGGTTGGCGAGTGCCTCACCCCATCGGCGCAGAGCCTCCCTCTGCGCCTGGGTGCGGACCCGTTCGATCTCCTCCCGAACGGGCCGCTCGCCCCGCTCTCTCGCCGCGGCCCTGTGTCGATGCACCTGGGACAGAACCAGGGCATCGATCTCCCACGGGAGCGTACCTGCGAGGACGCAGGCAGCCCCGTGGCTGACCGTGCGGTAAGCCCGCACGGCCCGGGCCGCGATGACCCTCTGTGGCCTCCGCAAGAGGGCCTTCGTGCGGGACGTAAGGCACTCCGCCCACACCGGGGCTCCGTACAGTGCCATCGACCTTATCACTCCATTATAAAGTCGACGGCACGACGCCCTCGGCCCTCCCACATTGGGGAGGATCTATCCGTTACCCTAGTATCGTAACACAAGCCTTATAGTGCTTACTTTGGGGCTAGGCTAAAAAAATGTAATTAATAGCCAAATATTTGTACTGTACAAATATTACAGTTAATGAACTCTATAAGTATAATACAGATTCATTAATATGTTATAGTTTAGTAAGTAGTTAGGGATAAGGTTCGGGGCTGCAAAATCTTTGTAAGAACACTAGAAAGATGGAGGCCTACTCTAATTCAACGAAAATCGAAATTTCGATCGAAACTTCGCACTTTTCTTACTATGTTTCTGTTTCGCTTTTAATTATAATAATATTCGCCGTCGGACTATAGATTGAGGTGTAGATTGTCTAAGCCTACACAAAGAAAAGCTTCAATTTGATAGTTTTTCGTTCAAATTAAGTATATAAGTAACCTTAAATTGACGAAATTAAATTTCGTTTGAACTTCGTTAATAAAAATTTGTTTCGGAGAAAGAGAGTAGACCTCCTGAACGTATATACCGAATCAGCTTTAAGCATCTGAAAACAAAATTTTAACCCGTAAAGTTACACTAACTTGGTCATCTATTTACACAATCATAATCAAGATCATTTATTTAGTTTAGGCTGTTACAAGCACTCATGAATGTCTAGAAGCTACGCCATCGGTTCGTAAATCTACGGCGGGAGACCTTGTACTGAGAAAAACCGGCAAAAAGCTCAGCAAGGGCTGTTTTATAATTTACAGAGTCGTGGAGTTGAAAAATGACTTTAGAGATGATTCATGATAATATGATAATTATTCATCTGCCTTTTGATTGCTGTGTCATAGAGTATAAATACAAATACAGAAAAAATACTCACTCCTTGCTCACATCTTCTTCAGTGGCATTCGAAAAGTACAAATCACCCTGCGGCGAGAAAATCCTAGGGCTTAGGAAGGTTTCCAATACCCCGTTGGCTACAGACTTCTTCATCCATTCCACCTTAGGTTTAGGGTAACCCTCGACTGGAGGGCAGGCAAGCTGAAACGGTCTCCCTTCAACAGGTGTCACCTTTTGCGTAGACACTTTCGGTACGTTAATATATAATTTCCTGAGTTTTACATGCCGTGTGGACGCGATACCTGTTTAAGATTTACATAGAATAAAAATAATAATCTATGTATATAATAAAATAGGAAAGACAAAACTGTATGTACATTGAATATTTTTTTAAAAAGAATACATGGGGTGTGATCTACAATCGATACCGAAGCCAAATGTATTTAGATTTTTTTTCTGTTTGACTGTATATATGTCCGGGATGAACTCAAAAAGTACTGCATGGATTTACTTCAAATTTGGCAGGAATATTATTAAGAAGTAGGGTCAACATATAGGCTACATATTATCACGCTATCACCTATCATCACGGGGAACGAGCAGTGAACCTTTATTTCTAACTAACTCCACGCATAGGAAGTCGCGGGCGGCCGCTATTAAATAATAAATAAATTAATATTTACAACACTCATACCAATTAGCCTAGCCCCAATAAGTACCTAGTTATACCCCCCACTCAACTCCCGTTCGCCCGATCACACTTTTCGTATCGCGTTCGCCAGCTTAGTCCCCAAGTCAAGCGTGCGTAAAGGAGTTTCACTTCAAAAATCTGATCATTTCAACAAGAATCAGCAAAAAAACAATAACATTATAATAAAATAGAGACCAGATATATATGAGGAGCTCGGTAGTGCGTTCTGTCTACGATCATAGCAGTTAAGCAACTTTTGCAACGGTCGGTCATTGAGATAACCAAAAACTTATTATCTCGAGCTCCTCCGTGCTTCCGGAGGCACAATATGGCGTTAATTCCGGCTGCAGCTACACTCAATAGCAGCCACCAATCCGCACTGGGCCCGCACGGTGGGTTAAGGCCCAATCTCATCTACTCCATCCATAGGCAAGGCCTGAGCCCCAGCACATGGGGATTTATTTATTTGACATACCATCGACAATTTTACAAAGGACAATGGGCAAAACACACCCAGCTCCGCCAACAATGTAATAAGTATGAATCGATAGATCTATGAAAAATTAGCCTTTTTAATTATGACACCGTAAAAAATATCCCGGTAGTAAAAAGATATGACACCGTTGAATAATATCCTGGTAGTCAAAAGATATGGCACATGGGCATATTTAAGTAGCTAAATAAATAAATTTTATAGTACCTTCATTTTATATTATTAGTAACCATAATAATATGCTATATCGTACTATACAACCAGATATACGACAAAGCCTGCCGACAATCCTGCGCTTGCACTTACTGAGCCACCACGAATCGGTTTACGGGGGTTGAAGGAGTTGCAGTTGCAAATAGTCGACTCGTCTTACTTCGTTGTGTGCGCTCCCTGTCACTTCATTGATTTTTATCTGACACGCTTTGGACATTGGAACACAATTATCGGTTTTGTGAATTAGTATGGTTGAACTGGAATCATGTTTTCTCGGAAGAGTGGACAAGTTTGTGTGATTTGTGGTCGCTCCGTTTTACATAGAAGACAATTTACTATAACGAATAGACTGTTTGAAAAAATCCCAACACTTGCGGAGATTTTTGGGTTTACTTTAGCGCGGCAAAATAACATAAGGGGGCACCCTTGCACCTTGTGAAGTACTACCATAATACCTGAGCCCTCAATGTATGGTCGAACTAACTAACTAAATTAATTCCCTTGCTTCATTAATGTTTGTTCGTTATAGTACTTGTACCTATTTAACTTAAAATAACTTAAGATCCCCGGGATGGAATTTGATGCACTTTGGCACAGATGATCATGACTTTAATACCTTTCAAACAAATGTAGTTTAAGCCGTGGCGGACGTGGGTGCAGCGTCCATACATTTTTGCCCAATGTCCTTTCAATAAAGATTTAAAGATGCAGGTAGTACTCAACCGTGTGAATTGCCATTGCAGGCATTACAACATTGACTATATGTAGGTAGGCTTACTTACTTATATTTGTATCAGTTACAAATTACTGTTCACTTTGAACGTTACCATACAAATGATTTTTGAGGGCTTTGAGTGGAGCGTGCAGGATGTCACCATCACGGCATAACTCGTTGTATGCATCTTTAATTCTGTTAAACGGTGAAGCTAATTTTTCTTCAAAGGGACAGTTAACGAATGATTTGATGGATTGGCGGGGGATTTTTCTGGGAACCTTTAACTTAATTTCCGGAAGAAGGTCTTGCGCAACAATATTGCCGTGATGGTATTACAGTAGAACCCGTTTAATACGATCACACTTAATACGATTTCTCGCATAATACGCCATTTTGCGTCAGTCCCTGCAACTTGAGACATGTTTTCCTACATTTCTTAACGCTTAATAAGATTCGTCAACCGGTTTAATACGCCTAAATCGCCAACGTACCACGCATATTACCTCTTGCGACAGCATAAAATTCAATGAGAATGTGAATTATGCACAAGAACAGGCCCTCCTAGGTGATAATGATCAAGAAGAAGAGAAGTCAACTCCGATTTTATCACACGCCAGCAGCAGTTAATGATTCAAGACGCTATGTAACTTCTTTGAATCAAAGCGAAGACGCACTGCAATAGTGTTGAAATCTTGTAATAACTAATGCCTCAAAATCTTTTTGACAAACTAAAATAAGTGATTAATTTAAATAACGTAATAATAATACACTTCGTTTTTTATAACATCCATAATTCTTAAATATTGTACATTTATTACCTACATTCGAAATTTTCCTATCCCGCATAATACGCTTTCCCGCTTAAGACGCGTTTTTGGTTGAGTAGGAATCTCTTATCTATTAGACAAGTCCGTCCGTCCGTCCGTGGTGCTGTTTCAGCGGCCAAACCGTAAGAGATAGATAAAGAGAATGTTTAAGTTATAAGTTGAGAATAGTCTGATAAGACTACAAACCGGATGTGAGTAACGTAGCACTTCCGGTTTTCGAGAAATCGCGTGATTTCTATTTCAAACGAAACCACACAAAATCTCCGAAGTTCTCAATTAATTAAATACATTTTTTTTTTGGTGAACATTTGGTTCACTGGTTTGCTAGTAGGATATTAATAGGCTGATGATGATTACAGACCTGCTGAAGTCTCAGCGGTGCATTGATACAACCCCTCATCGGATTCCTTCATCTCTTTGAAGACAAGCTTCTGATCATTTTGCTTGACGTTGGGATTGGCCTTCAAGTCTTTGAATTCGGCTAACCATTCGAATCTGTAATAATTAACAACATTAAGTAGTCACAGAACAGAAATAATAGGCATAAAACCGGCAAGTGACAAACCACCACCAAAATTTTACTGTAGGGGCCGTCCATAAATTACGTCATCGATTTTTTCAGATTTTAGACCCTCCCCCCCTACAATCATCCTATCGTCATTTCTTAATGACCCCCCCCCCCCCCTTCTCCCAAAATTGACGTCATTACCAGTTTGACAAAATTAAAACATTGCAGATTTGAGAAAAGCTAGTATTATATGTAATATTATTGTAGGAGTATTTTATATGTAGTTATTACTGTATTTGTGTACATCTATGTTGCATGTTATATATGTTTATTACGAGTTATTTTAGTATTGTACGCGCCCTAGCCGCCTCTCACATTTGCAGTCTCACTTACTAGGTGTGCTGGAAGAAATTTCTTTTTAGAAATAATCTTTTTGTACGTGAACAATAAACTATAAATAAATAAATAAGAATGACGTCAATTTCGAAACACCACATATCTATCATTTACCGTCATCCGCAGACCAACCCTCCCCCCCTAATTTAGAATGACGTAATATATGGACGGCCCCCGTAGTCTTGTGTAAGGTGAAGATTGCTTCCCCAGATGGGCGCTCCGATTCGAGCGGGAAATCTTCTATGACCTACACCTCATACTTGATATTCTATCAACAAATTTGAAATTCTAGGACCTCGGAGAGACCCATACATTAAGAGCCCTTTTACAAAATTGCGCCGCTGTCGTACTGATCGGCGCGTAAGTCGATTTGCACTAACTAGTAATATTGCATTTTACGGGTGATGTTTCAAATCTTATAAAATGATTAATAATGAACTAATTATAAATATTTTAGTAGTTCAATAATGGTAGATTAGTTTCATGAAAGTTTTTGATAGTAATTCTATTTAAGTAATTCAATATCAAAATACGGGTAAACCCTTAGTATGAGTTTTACAATTACGAAAACTATGATAGTTTTCGTGAGCTCAAACTCGTACTAAGGGTAATGCATTGTTTTTTGGGAAAACTCAAGGAGGTTAGATGTTTTTTTTGATAAATAATGAGATAGAAAATCAAAATTCCAATACATTCTGTTACAACAAAAACATATTTCTGATGTCGTAGTTATTAATTTGATCTAATTTATTTAATATTATTTAGAGATTCAGGATATTTTGCAAAAAATGTGAAAGGGCTCTTAAATAAGGGTATAATTTAGATGGGTACCAAAAATATTTTTAAGGCTCTAAGCCTAGGTACCAAATAAAATAAAGAACTCCAAAAAAAATCAACTGACTTTATTAAAAGGGCCCTAAAGTATATAATATATTATGATTTAAAATAAATGAAATAACATCAGAAAAATCGCAAGCCTTGCACAAATATTATTTTTGGTTCCTAAAATGGATTAACGGTCACCAAATTCTGTAACTCAAAGATTAATATTACAACCAAAAATCTTACTCCAAAATAGTTTGACGTCATCCAAAATACATTATTTCATCCCAGACTACTTTAATGTTTGACTAAAATTATAATTGCTTCCCTTTATTTCTTAACCCCGCACTCCGCACCCCGGCCCCGCACCCTGCATACAACAATAAGGGTGGGCGTATGCTGAGAGGCAGGCGACGCAGGCCGCGCAGCGCAGACCGCACAGCGCAGACCAGGGCAGTTACTGTGCACATCTAAGCCGCACGTGCCTGCGCTGCAGCATACGTAGCTCAATGACATTCCATGCTATACAAAATCTGCTCTGCTCTGCGCTGCGCGGCCTGCGTCCCCGCGTCACCTGCCTCTCAGCATACGCCTAGCCTAAACAAGAGAGGTTTGTTTGGGAACCCCAGTATATTTAGTGAATTTCATATAACAATAAATAAGCGACGTACGTTTGAGAACCCCGGTATATTAATTGGTATTTGAGAAATATTCTAGCGATCGTTAGCTTTTTTAGCCTAGCAAAAATTACCAAATTCGAACTCATGGTATTACATAATTGGTAACATCTAAGTAGTGACAATATATAATATTTAGTCTAAAGTGTATTTTAAAGGCGTCCATATATAATTATGGCAGTCAATAATACGAAAAAATTGATTTATTTCATAATATTTTAGGAAACGTAATTTGGTGACCATTTATCCATTTTAGTAACCGTTTAGATATTTTTTTGGAGTAAAATAGGTACTTTTTTGGGCGGTGTTTAAACACAAGCCCTTAAATAACAGCAAACTGTCAAATTGTCTCAATCGATTGTGAATGTTATGTCAACGTTAATAAAGCTCAAAGTCCGTTGGATAAATTTTACAATCTGGAGTTAATTGATCCGTAGCTGTATCGATATAATATAAAAATCAATTGATGTTCGTTAATCTCGCTAAAACTCGAGAACGGCTGAACGGATTTATCTTAAATTGGTCTTGTAATGTTCGGGGAGGTCCAGGGAAAGTATAAAAGGTGAAAAAAAAGAAATTCATTGTGTATGATACAAGCTTGAAAACAAAAAGTACAGTCTACACGACAGCTCTACACCGAAGCGAATCGAGGGCGGGCTACTAGTGATCTAATAAGAAAAAAACAGAAAACTCACTTCACATTAGAATTGTCCCCAGATTCAACTTCACAGTTCAGCTCAAACGGCTCTCCTACGCGAAATAATACCTCTTCTGGTAGTTCTTTCAACACTGCCGGTAGATCTGCAGGCTGGCTTGTGACCGATACTGAAAATAAATCTTTGCAAATTACCTACTTGTTGTGGTATTGCTGTTTAATGACATAACGTTTGAATAGTTCTACAGATAATAATTTAGAAAGTCGTTTATTCGTAGCTGTGTAAGCCTTTTCGTGACAGAGATGTGTCGTAAGAAACTTATTAAACACAAGTACACAACACGTATACTGAATTCAATACAATGGAGTTTAGGTGAAAATATTATTTTGTAGTCAAATTAAAAAGTATCTACTCACCCAAAATCGTAAGCGCAAACGCAAAAGAATACACATTGAAAGCCATTTTATATATTAGTTATCCTGAAAAAGAACTAAGAAATTTTTTAATTACCCCTAAATAATAGTTACAATTAAAACTTCCTCATTACTTTCGTAATTTAAAAAAGAAAGAAAATAAAATTACTCTGAACGTGTTCGTAACGTGAAGAATACTTGAAGGCGGGAAAACGACTACAAAAATGGCGTCAGTTTCCCGCTTTTTATAGGTAGAGGTATAACAACACAACATCATGCCATGCATTCGCTGCGTTATCGATCAAGGCGTCCATCAGCTTGTCTCAATGTTTTTATGTATTTTCAGGTGGGTAAAGTACCCATCGAGTTACTCATGTACATCTATACATATAAATAAAATTGGTGTGTCTGTTCGTAATATTGAAATAACCGCTTTTCACTACATGCATATATATACGGTACATATACCAAAATAACATTTTTTATATTTTTGTCTGTCTGTATGTCTGTCTGTTTGTTCAGGCTAATCTCTGAAATGGCTGGACCGATTTTTATGGGACTTTTATTGGCAGGTAGCTGATGTAAAAAGGAGTTACTTAGGCTACTTTTATTTTAGAAAAATACTTTTATTTAAAAAAAACTAAAATAAAAGCGGATGAAGTCGTGGGCGGCCGCTAGTAATTCATAAAAGTCGTTAGTAAACATGTCAAAAAAAAAATAGTAGGTAAGTAAGATAAGAAATCTGCCAAGGAAACTTTTAAAGTTAAATGCAGTTTTTTTCACTATACTAAAATCCAGCGGTGGATCCCAGCATCGTTTTATTAGCATAATATTACATTAAAAATCATAGGTACTTATAAATAGCTAGACTCATCACGTGAAATAGGGGCAAGTGCTTTACCTGTGGACACACACCGGATTATCTTACAAAAGTGATCTGAAAAAAAAAGTTATATTTAAACTATTTATTGATATATGTACTTAGATAATAAAATGATTTACAACCATCAATAGCTGTACTTTTTTGAACACGTGTTGTTATTTTCGAAATACGAACGTTTAAAAAAAGCTGATATTATCCAAAGGTACTTACGACCAGATTATGTACCTTTAGACAGTACAAAAAATGACCCTATGGAAAGCTGTGTACCTATGGGCAAAGGACATAAACACACTACAATCTAGTATTTATGGCTTCAAATAAACATTTTTTGCATGAGCAGTAAACAATTAGGAGCATACAAAAAATAATAAAACATCTCTAACAAAATAATGACACTCTGGCTTTTAGCTAATCATTGCAATATAAAAGCCTAAAAGTAGATGACGTCTTCATCATCTCTTATCTATTAGACAAGTCCGTCCGTCTGTCTGTCTGTGTTGCTGTTTCAGCGGCCAAACCGTAAGAGATAGATAAAGAGAATATTTAAGTTAAGTTAAGAATAGTCTGATAAGACTACAAACCGGATTTGAGTAACGTAGCACTTCCGGTTTTCGAGAAATCAGGTTTTGGTGAACATTTGGTTCACTGGTTTGCTAGTTATCAAGAATAAACATGTCCGGGTTTTGGTGTATCTCTATTAGTCGCACGTTTTTAACTAAAGTAGACTCTGGAACTTTGTCTTTGTCTTCTTTTTTAATTTCCGTGAATTCTATAGTAAAAAATAGTTGTAGGGGATTGGGAGGGTGTTGATGTTTTTATAAGGATGAATTTCAACGCGCATTTCATCGTCAATCATCATCTCAATTTAACTGAAAACTGAAATTAGATTTAGCCCAAACAATAATGTCAAATTGACATTGACGTTTTGACATTTTCTTGTAGTTTCTCAATTTATCGATCGATATATTTAATTATTCCAACATAATACTGCCATGTGGTTCGTGAATAATATCGTCCTACTACGTTGTCGCCTACATTCCATTCCCTCTCTCTTCAGTCCGTGGCACCGAAATAACCAAACAAAAAAAGTTATCCTACTAAAGAAAATATAACTAGAAAAAATTCCACGCGGACCAGGCAGCAGACGGGACTCGAACCCGCACCCTTCGCAATCCGGGCGAATGCACTGACCAATTATGCTACCGCGGCCCTCATGGACCGCGTCGAAATTCCTTCTAGCTATTCTTAAGCTGCAGGGCAGCGCCATCTCTTCGCATTATAGGTAAACCCACAATGTCAAATGAATACTTTTACAAGTATTAAACATTTGAAAGAAGAAATAGCAATTATAGTTATAATTTTTATTATTTTTAAAGCATGTAACTGCTTGATGTTTAAATCTAAAGAAAATATAACTAGAAAAAATTCCACGCGGACCAGGCAGCAGACGGGACTCGAACCCGCACCCTTCGCAATCCGGGCGAATGCACTGACCAATTATGCTACCGCGGCCCTCATGGACATTGTGGGTTTACCTATAATGCGAAGAGATGGCGCTGCCCTGCAGCTTAAGAATAGCTAGAAGGAATTTCGACGCGGTCCATGAGGGCCGCGGTAGCATAATTGGTCAGTGCATTCGCCCGGATTGCGAAGGGTGCGGGTTCGAGTCCCGTCTGCTGCCTGGTCCGCGTGGAATTTTTTCTAGTTATATTTTCTTTAGATTTAAACATCAAGCAGTTACATGCTTTAAAAATAATAAAAATTATAACTATAATTGCTATTTCTTCTTTCAAATGTTTAATACTTGTAAAAGTATTCATTTGACATTGTGGGTTTACCTATAATGCGAAGAGGTGGCGCTGCCCTGCAGCTTAAGAATAGCTAGAAGGAATTTCGACGCGGTCCATGAGGGCCGCGGTAGCATAATTGGTCAGTGCATTCGCCCGGATTGCGAAGGGTGCGGGTTCGAGTCCCGTCTGCTGCCTGGTCCGCGTGGAATTTTTTCTAGTTATATTTTCTTTAGATTTAAACATCAAGCAGTTACATGCTTTAAAAATAATAAAAATTATAACTATAATTGCTATTTCTTCTTTCAAATGTTTAATACTTGTAAAAGTATTCATTTGACATTGTGGGTTTACCTATAATGCGAAGAGATGGCGCTGCCCTGCAGCTTAAGAATAGCTAGAAGGAATTTCGACGCGGTCCATGAGGGCCGCGGTAGCATAATTGGTCAGTGCATTCGCCCGGATTGCGAAGGGTGCGGGTTCGAGTCCCGTCTGCTGCCTGGTCCGCGTGGAATTTTTTCTAGTTATATTTTCTTTAGATTTAAACATCAAGCAGTTACATGCTTTAAAAATAATAAAAATTATAGTTATCCTACTGTTCAGAGGTACTAATGTACCTGTGAAACAGTCCACATGTACATTCGTAGTTATTCGTAAAAATCAGCTTAATCTAAAAAAAAACACTACAATATTTTTAGGTACTGTTTTGTGACAAATACTTATATAAACTAGACTGAAGCTTGTCAGGTGAGTAAATATCAAGCTGAACATTTTTTTTGTGTATTGATTTAGCAGCTTGCATAGCCTTGAAATAGGGGAGTTGGATCCGAATACAGTTCTGTGACGAGGTGCTTTGAGAGGGTCTATCCTACTTCGGGGGTATCTTAAAGGAACATTGAAATTGATTTTATCCAAAATTTGAGGGACAAACAATCAATTTTGTTATTAAGAATTTTAGACAAAAATGATAAATCAATGATAATTCTCCGTTTTTCTAATGTGTTAATTTTGAAATGTTTCAACTGTTTTTCATAAGATGGTAATATTTTCTTAGAGATACCCTCAGTGTATCTAAGGTGTCTCATAAACCTTCTCTGAATTCGTTACAATTGAAGGGAATGTGTAGCAAAATGTGGCCTCCATACGACGCTACAATACTCTAAAATACTACGCACTAAAGCGTTGAACAAGAGTATCTTAGTCCTAAAATTACGTAAGTCTCTAGCATTTCTAAGCACAAACCCCAAAGCCCTAGATGCACGATTTTTGATATTCTCTATATGAGGCACAAAAGTAAGTTTTTTGTCAAATATCACACCCAAGTCACGGACACAGTCCAACTCTCCGATCTCAGTTGAACCAATACGATATTGATATGTTACTAAATATCTCTTTCGCCCGTAACGCAAGTAATAGCATTTTTTAGAATTGAGGCTCATTCCATTTTGTGCGCACCACCTACCAAGTTCGTCAAGATCAGACTGAAGCATGAGAGAATCCTCAATTATATTGATTACTTTTCCTATTTTGAGATCATCCGCAAACATGTAAGGTTTGGAAAACTAAATGATGTTAGGTAGATCATTTACTAAGATATTAAACAAGAATGGACCCAGATGCGAGCCCTGGGGCACCCCAGATGTGATTATTCGCGATACAGACTCATACCCATTCATAACTACAAAAAAGGAGCGACCCTCTAAGTAAGATTTCAACCATTTCAATAACGAGCCGGATATGCCATAAGCTGACAACTTCTTTAATAGGATGTCATGACGCACCCGATCAAACGCTTTACTGAAATCCGTATATACGACATCCATTTGCTTTTGAGCATCAAGCGCTTCTATCAAACTTTCAGTGAGGTCTATCAAGTTAGTATTAGTTGACCTAAATTGAACAAAACCGTGTTGATACCTGCTAAGTGACTGTTTGAAATGACGCTGTATATACGGACATACAAGAGATTCGAGCACTTTTCCGATCGTCGATAAGATAGAGATATAATTTAAAATCAAATCCTCTCTGTCTGATTTGTAAATTGGCACAATTTTGGCTTCTTTCCACTTTGATGTTCGCATTTCGCAGTTCGCAATATATCTATTGTTCGGAAAACAGAAAAATAATAATTTAGTTCGATTATAGTAACAATAAAGACTACGAAAGATCATAAAAAAATCTTGCTTTTTTAGATTTAGAAATATTTTATGTATATAATACAATACATTGCCACCAACACTAACAAAAGTATAAAGTTAACGATGTATAGTATAATATACAAAGTCACACTGGGACTTGCATTTATTTACAAATATAAATGAAAATAAATATGAATTTATGTTATATTTAATATGTACGTTTTATATCGTTGGTGGAAAAACTAATGTAACATAGGTATGTATAAACCAATATAAAAAAGAGCATAGAAACTATTTTTATTAAAAAAAGTTTAATGGCAGGTATGCTAAAAACAATTCTACATAGATACGTGACATTTGTGAACGAGCTTGACCTTTTGCAATCCCGCAAGAAGAAGATGAGATGGTCTCAAGCAATTCAAATATTAGGTAGGTAATTATATGTGGTTTCAGATATGAGGACGTACTGCTATGATCAAAAGAAAT